AATTTATATTAAAATGTATCAACAGACATGAGCAGAAACAAACATTATTTCCGTGAAGATTTGATATATAAAGAAATATGCAGACTATCTTAGTCTTTATAAGTAACTTATTACATTTAGGGTGTGTAAAAAGAAAAAAAAGAGGTAACTTACCCCTTGGCTGTAATTTATTTTTAGCTTTGAATACAACAGACGTGTAGATAACGTCCTCTTCTCCCGCCATCACTACAAACTTCTTAGAAATATCAGTTTTTATGATCTATACACAGACTCTCCACTGCAGCGGGATGTCATTTAGCAGAAGTGCTTCATTCTTTCTGCAGCTCTTTCTCACAGCTCTTAAGTGTTCAACTTCTGCTTTTGTTACAGGAAGTCATTTGCATTTATGTCATGTCTAAAAATAAGTTCAGTCATTCAATGGGATGTTTATGTGCTATGAAAAGGATAAATAAATAAAACATGGTTACACAAATATCATATGTGGCAGACAAAATGTGTTAATGTGAAATTCAGAATTTGAATGTTAAAACGGCGTGGAATAACCAAATCAGCTCCTCTGTTACTTCCACTTCTGTCTTTAGGATTGACATTGAGGCAGTAAATTAACCATAAATCCACAAAGACATTATAATTACCTTCTTAACTAGAGATTGTATTTGCCTCTTTATTAAGAATTTACTTATTAAATGATATGTACAAAAAACAAAAGTTATAGTTTGGATATTTTGTTATTAAGTTGTTCAAGAACTAAAACCTCTGATATTCATATTTCAAAGTGAGGTTACGCTTGGATGTTAAAATAATTTCAGAATATCGATCAGGGTTATTACCAGGTTTTACAAAGAAAGCAGCAAACATCTAAAACAACACACAGGACAAATATGAATTGTAATAATATGATACCATTGTTTACCTGTGTGTGATTTAAGATTTTATTCATAATGACTTTTATAAAAAATGCAAACTTTAACAAAAAAGAAATTAGCAAATTATGTTGTACAAAAACAAGACTAATGTAACCCAGTTTAAATCCATAATGCCACATCTCTTTATTCACTTCTTTGTTTTTGATCTTTACTGACTCTCTACTTTTGGTTTCACTCATTGATTACTTTTAACATTTGACAGCAAAATTTACTGCCAGATGTTATTATTAATTAATGTAAATAATTAAACTGCAGGTGAAACAACAATCCTGCCATTGTTCAGACAGCACTGAAAACGTTCAGGTTCCTTTTTCTCTGATGAACTGAGCCAAAACCTGGTCATGTAGGAGTTAACATGATGCATTTCACTAGAATAAAAATACCTGGAAACACTGTTCTGTTGTTGCTTTTACCTGTTGTCCAGATGTTCAAAGCTCTCTTCTGTACATCAAAACTAAATTTAACACATTTTGCAAAGAAAAATTAGGGAAATGTTTTATTTGGATATACAAACTTGGTAGAGATATAAAACTCACTGTTACAATTTGTGACTATCTGTGTTTTTGTGTATTTATTTCTGTGGCCTTGTTCCCGTGAGTCTCTGTGATGGCCTGTCCTCCCTGTTGATTGATTCCAGCTGTGTCTAGTTTTCCTGATTACCCTCCCTGTGTATTTAAACCCACCTGCTGTCTTTGTCTCTTGTTGGGTCCTCGTCTTATGTCAGTTGTTGTCTGTGTTGGCTCTCAGTAGAACTGTTTAAGTCCTGGTTAACTTGCTCCATGTTCAGTCTTTTGTCAGTTGCTACCGGTATTTAGCTGTGTGCTATTCTCTTTGCAGTTCTGCCTGTATTTGGACTGTTTGTGCCTTTCATCATTAAATTCATCATTTTCTTCACAACCTGGGTCTCTGCGTTCATCCTCACCATCTCTCCGCATCACACATCATGACACAATTGTAGTAGCATGAAATATTGTATGGTTTTGTTTTGAAATAATCTCTTTAAAATATACACTGACAAACATCTTGAAAGTTATTGAGTAAACCCTCTGGATTTTTGAATATAATCAATATTTGCAAGTTTTGGTATCAGGTAACTGACTTTCTGATATTCCTCATGAAATATGATAAAAATCAGGTTTGCTCTGTTGTATTGGCTTAGATATATGAATTTCATTTTGCATAAAAGACCAGATAATATTTTAAATATGGATCAGTTTTCTCCATACATTTTTAAACTGGGTATTTTGTTTGTGCTACTTAACATTTAATATTTAATATAAAACAGTAAAATTGACAAATATTTTCTGATTTCTTTACCTATCTTTCGCTTGTTTTTCTGCAAACAAATAGGACTTTAAATAGGATTTATATATGAAATAATTTATGAATAGTTACTCTGATTAAATTCTATATTTGGTCAAATAACTTTTTAAATATATTTTTAACTATTGAGGTGCTATTTTATGGGGACTTTACAAGACTCCACAGTGTGTCAGCAACTTCTTCACAAGCTTCCGCATTTCTATCTGTCTGTAATTTGTCAAAGCGAAAACACAAAGACATTGATCTACAACAGAAACCTGAATCAACTCAGAAGAACATGAGAAAGAGAAAGTGTTCCTTCCAAAGGCAGATCATTTCCTTTAATATACACACATTATGATCATCTTTGTGCAGCTTAGGAACAACATAAGATTTCACAGATCAAAGTGTCATGAAAAATGTCAAGAGAAAAGTGACATTTAAATCCTGTATGATCTGTTTGAACAAGCAACTTCATCTTAATATGTAGATACAAGAAAGTTAATCACAAAATAGGCTTCCCTTAAAGTAACATAAAAGTCCTTTAAAAACTATAATTAATGAAAAGTGAAGGAAACATAAAACTGAATCATACTGTCTGTTATGTTTTTGTATGTATCTGTTAATAATCTGTAAAAACTGAGTGTGAAACAAATCAGAACTCCAAACTTTTTCATATGAACAGTTAATGTGTGCCACTTAAAGCGAAATACTTTCTAATCAGGCTATCATTTTAAATTTCTACATGTGTAAATAATAAATATGAGAAACAGACAGAAATCTAACTTTAAATCTTAAGTTTTGATTTTGTTGCAAAACCACCAAAGCTTTCAATTAGAAACTTCTTACATTTTTAACTTATTTGAATGTAGTGCTTTCCTGATAAAGTTTCTCAGTCTGAATCCTTCATGTTCAAACAGATAAAGCCTTCTTCTCACAGATCCATGCGTTCTTGTCACCACATATTGCTGTATTCCAACCTCGGCCATTAAGAGAAGTTACACAGTAACCATCTGTGGCAGCCTGCTGCTGTATCCAGGTTCTAAGAAAAAACAAAACAAAAAACACACATCTATTAGATCAAGGCTGATAGATTTGTTTTATACAAAGTTTAAGAAACAATGTGTCTCTCACTGATCTGTCAGATTACTGCCATCTATCCATTTCCATGTCCCCTCTACAGCTCTGAGACCAATCCAGTATCCATTAATACCCTCTTCAGAAGGACTTTGTGTATTGACATGATCCTGAGAACAACATAAAATCAGACAAAAGTAAACCTTTACATGACCCTCTGCTTTTATGTTCACTGAAAATTAAGCACCTAGAATTATTAGACGTGAGTTTTCTTTCTTTTTCTTTTTTTCTTTTAAATCAGTGTACATTTTAATCTATTAAAGCTGTTCCACAGTTCTTCAATTACCTTTTCAGTCTGATTAGACACAACAGTCAGATCTGAATTTTTTCTTCTGCAGTCTTCTCGTGCTTCTTCCCAGGTTCTCTGATTAGGGGGTTTATAGTTATTATATGCATAACAGCTGGACATGTGATCATTCCAGCCTTTCTGGCAAGAAGTGCAATTTCTCCCTGAAATAAAAGTGTTCAAAAAAAATAAACGTGACACCATAATGTTATTAGTTAGTTTTGAAAATAATATTGTA